TTTTTTTTTATCACAGTGGCTTTATAGTTTAGTTTCAAATTGGGAATTGTTATACCCGCTACCATGTCTCTGTTCCCTAGATGGCTTTTGCTATTTAAGGTCTCTTATGGTTCCAAATGAATTTTTGGATTCTTCTTTCTAGTTCTGTGAAATATGGTGTTGGAATTTCAATTGACATTGCATTGAACCTGTATAGCAGTTTTGGTAGTATGGCCATTTTCACTATGTTGATTATTCCTACCCAGGAGCAGGGGATATCTTTCCATTTTCTTATATCCTCTTCTATTTCTTTTTTCAGAATGCTGTAGTTTTCAGTGTAGAGGTCTTTTGCTTGTTTTGTTAGATTGATTCCTAGATACTTCATTTTTTTTGGATGCTATTGAGAAAAGAAATGTTTCCCTAATTTATCTCTCAGTGAGTCTGTTATTTGTGTACAAGAAGGCTATTGATTTTTGGGTGTTCACCTTGCATCCAGCTACTATACTGAATCTGTTGATTAAGTCTAGAAGTCTTTTGGTGGAGTTTTTTGCGTCTTCAATGTAGAGTAGTATATCATCAGCAAATAATGACAGTTTAACTTCTTCCTTTCCTATCTTTATGGCTTTAAATTCGTTTTCTTATCTAATTGCTGTGGGTTTCCAGAACTATATTGAAGAGGAGTGATTATAGTGGGCATCCTTGTCTTGTTCTGGATTTTAACACGAAAGTTTTCTGGTTTTGGTCATTCAATATAATGTTGGCTATTTGTTTTTCATAGATAGCCTTTATTAAATTGAGGTATAGACCATCTATTCCAATTTTTTGCAGGGTTTTTGTCGTGAATGGGTGTTGAATTTTGTCAAATGCTTTTTCTGCATCTATTGAGAGGATCATATGGTTTTTGTCCTTGACTCTGTTAATATAGTGTATTACATTTATTGACTTACGTATGTTGAACTCTCCTTGCATCCCTGGAATAAATCCAACTTGGTCAGGATGTATGATCTTCTTGATGATCTTCTGAATTCTGTTTGCTAGTATCTTATTAAAGATTTTTGCATCTATATTCATTAAGGAGATTGGCCTGTAATTCTCTTTTTTACTTGCGTCTTTCCCTGGTTTGGGAATCAAAGTGATACTTGCTTTCAGGAATAAATTTGTCCTTGCATCCCTGGAATAAATCCAACTTGGTCAGGATGTATGATCTTCTTGATGATCTTCTGAATTCTGTTTGCTAGTATCTTATTAAAGATTTTTGCATCTATATTCATTAAGGAGATTGGCCTGTAATTCTCTTTTTTACTTGCGTCTTTCCCTGGTTTGGGAATCAAAGTGATACTTGCTTTCAGGAATAAATTTGGAAGTATACCTTCCCTTTCAATTTCATTGAAAAATTTGAAGAGTAAAGGCAGTAGTTCTTTTCTAATTGTCTTGTACAATTCAGCAGTGAATCCATCAGGACCTGTGCTTTTCTTTGTTGGTAAAGTTGTATTTACATTTTCTATTTCATTGATGGTAATTGGGGTGTTTAAAATGTTTTTGTCTTCTTCGTCACCTTTGGTACTTCATAAGTATCTAAAAATTTGTCCATTTCTTCTGTGTTTTCCAATTTGTTAGAGTATAGATTCTCAAAGTAGGTATTAATGATCCTCTGGATTTCTGTTGGATCTGTTGTGACTTCACCTTTTTCATTCCTGATTGCATGGATCTGAGCCTTTTCTTTCCTTTTTTGGATAAGATTAGCTAAGGGTCTATAGATTTTATTTATTCTTTCAAGAAACCAACTCTTTGTTTCATTTATTTTTTGTATCATTTTCTTAGTTGATTTCTGCTCTAATCTTTATAATTTCCTCTCTTGTTTGAGCTTTGGGTTTTCTTGCTCTTGTTTTTGTAGTAGTCTAAGATACATCATTAGGTTGTTTTTTTGAGCTTGTTCTGTTTTCCTAGTGTGGGCATTCAGTGCTATGAATATTCCACATAGAACTTCTTTCATTGTGTCCCATAGATTCCTGTATGTTGTATTGAGATTTAAACTTATCTGTAAAAACTATCTGATTTCTTCTTTAATTTCCTCTGTGATCCATTGATTGTTCAGGAGAGTATT